TAGACCTTTAACATTGTGATTCTGAACTAATGCCTATGCTAATTATAGCACATACTCCCAAGTAGTTTTCCTCAGCCTCTCCACAGAAAAACAATTGCACATGCACACATACATACACCTGCATGTTACACATTGATCAGAGCAGGTTGACGAGCTACGACAGTGGGGAGTTTAAACTCCAGGGATCCTTCCTCTAACCCACTTTACTGGAGCCCGGCAATCCTTTCCTCCTCATCGCTCTACTCCTTAATGACTCCTCCTATCATCTGGAGCCCTGATGGAGTCTATTTTGCTTGCTGATCAATGGGGAAAACGAGCAACTGAGCCCAGCCTTTCTTCTCTCTGTTCCAGAAGGAGGTACTGGGTTGCTGCGACTCCCCCAGCATTCTTGATGGAAGCATGTTTGAGAACTCATCTGTCAATCTATCTGTTCTTTGATCTGAGTTGGAGCGCAGTGAGAGGGTGCAAAGATCCCCAAGTGGTAGAGGAAAATCAAGTATCGCAAACAATCATCACACTCCTCGTACTCCCATACACTCACCTGCATGCGCAAATAACTGCAGATTAAACAGAAACAGAGCCTTCGGAAATTAGAAACTGAAGATTGTTTACCACTCTCACTTAACTTTTCTGTCCCCATCGGTACTGTGAAGCACAACATCAGTCTACAAATTGGTTTGTGCAGTCACTCAGAAACATGCCCCAATATTGCACACAGCGCCTTGGGCTACATAGGGATTTCAAAATGCAATTATTTTGGATAAAATTGACAATATCTAAAATTCAAATCAGGGAACAGCTAAACTTTGAAAGAAATGTCACCCCTATTTTTTTCAGCTTTTCTAAATGGCCCTCAAGACAAAAACAAAACAAAACAAACCCTCAGAATTTCATCACCATTTCATCATCATGCAGTTTGCAAACTGGCTATTTTTTGATATTTGACCTGTTTCATACACAATAATGGTTTTGCAGGGAACAGTCTAAAGATGTATTACAACTGAAGCCAGGTCCAGAAAAGACAAGACAAAGTGCTATAAAAATTGTTAAAATTTACAAAGAAAACAGCTTTCAGATAAAATGTTAGACTATATGAAAGTAGAACAGACATTGCCTTCCAAATCAACATTGCTGAATGGTCAGAGCGGCAGCCATTTTTATGTGTACATTTGCAACTGCAAAGAGCTGTGACCATTATGGCAGTTAGCAAACTAACTTCCATATAAACTGACTTGCAGCAGGTCACAGACTCACTGAGGTGACGTTCTGCAGTAATGACCAAACGAGCAGTGTATGAAGCATGCAGGACCACTGGATTTAATTGCTTCATATTTTTTTAGGTAAGTAAGAGAATCACAGTCTTTGTTCATGTATGGCTATATTATCTATGTCTATAATGTCAGATGTCGGTGAGATTTCAGTTGCGTTTTGACTGTTGGCTCAGTAACACACCGGGACACACAGATGTCGATAATTATCAATGTGATTATAGACCCAGACCAAAACAGATTTCTCAAACTAGTGGGTGTGACACACCTCACAGCCAAACTGAAAAAAACCCATCACGGGGCGTCGTTCCTGTGGGCTCCAGCAACACTAAACCCCTGAGCTTGCCTGAGAAGGACTAAATGCACAAACCTACTTTTAAATATCCTTTGGAGAGAGTCTTTCACTTTGCCTGTATTATTTTATTCTGAAAATGTCGGCATGCAACCTCATTCTGTGGACAGTAAATGAGGTGCAGACTTCCATCTGTGGCACCGGTGATGAAGAAATACAGCTGGTGCTGGACGGAGCAGTGAATGACAACAACCCTGCCCACATTTACGAGTACTGTTTGTAGTGGAAGCGCTAAGTGGACCTAGGGTCTTGGTACCATGTCTGAAGGCTTACTTTCGATTCCAAAGATACCATACTGAAAGTGTCTGGTTAAAACAGGGCTTTAGATATAGAGTTAGACCAAAACACATCAGACAGCCTCCTGGTTAAAGCTCAACTAGTGCTCACACACTGGCAGAGACAGAGCGCGACCCACAGCCAGGCCCAGTTTAGTCTGGAAGGTTCAAATAGAGCGAGAGTTCAAATGCCTCACAGTTAAAGGTCACAAGCACCACACAGAGTCGAGGGTGGAAGTCAATGTTTCTGCTCTCTCCCCTCCTGCCCTCCTGCCTCTCTCACTGTCACACACACACACACACACAGAAATGGACATCAAAGGCCCTTAATGTTTTGCTTCTCATGTCTATCATCCTTGATTCCATTTTGGTCTCACCACGCTCCAAGCAGCAAGAGTTCAACAGCAGGAAGAGGAACATTGTGCTGCAGGCACTACTTTTAAAACTTCTAGTCTTTTCATTCTGCTAGCAGGTGTTCCTGTGCTTTGTGAGTGTGTGTGCATGTGTGCGTGTGTGTGTTTACAGATGTAATATTTATAAAGTGGTCAAAATGCCTGGACCACAAGTGATAGATTACTGGAGTAAATCTGCACTTTAATATTGGGTTGCTTAACTAGAAAATATGCTTACAAGCAAGAGTTTAGGCCTCTGTTATATTGTGTAAATGTATCTTTAGGGTTCAGTGGATGTTACAGTAACATAGAGAGTCACATTGAGTGTGATATGTTGTTGAGTTTGAGGTTGTAAACTTTGGCCAGAATGGTACAACAGAATCTCATTTCATTGATTTATGATATTGATATTAGCAAGGTAATTTATTTATAAAGGTACTGTGCAAATGAAGCTATTTTCTGGGGGAAAGGAAGAGATAAATTCAATATTGTTGATTAAGTTGCATTTGTCTCCGACAACAAACCAAAGCAGAAATAGAAAAATCAAAATATATAGCTGCAGGGAGCAGTTGGTGGCATACAAGCTCCCAAGTGCCATAGAAACTGTGTTTTCCAGCTCATTACTGTGCTGCTATATACTGATCTTTTGACATTTACTGCACAGATTTACTGTAGATGCTGCAGGGAAGTATCACTTTGAGCAATTGATCACTTCAATAGTGCCACAACTTACATGAATTATTGAGATTTTGCTTGAGGTGGGGGTTTAAAATCTACGAGTTTAGAAAAAAACGATGCTTCTCAGAATATTCAAGTTGGTGGATATTTGTGTCACCATGTGCAGTGGATTCAGGTCATTTATAAGAATACAGGGAGCATACAAGGCCAAACTGAACAGAATATCCCCCTCTGTGTCTGCTACATGTGAAAAGTGCAAATCAGGCGTGGGGACCTTAGGTCACCTTTTCTGGTGCCCCGAACTCAGGAATTTCTGGGCGGACATTTTTTCAATTGTATAGTAACATATATAGCAAACAGTTAGTCCTTGACTGTCTCTCTGTGATACTGGGCTGCCCTAATTACTCTTTGACTCTTTCTCCTGCATTAAAGGAAGCTCTTATGTTTAGTATAGTCAAAGCAAAAAGGGTAATTTAATTTACATTGGGCAATTATAAAATTGTTATTTTCTTAATCAATTGATTAATTGTTTGGTCACAAAATAGTTTTCACGTGGCTTGTTTTGTCTGATCATCAGTCCAAAATCCCCAAATATTCAATTTAATATCACAGAAGAAGAAAAAAAAAATTCTCTTCCTTCCATAATGATTTTACCCAATCATGGACAAACCATTAAAAAGAATCATAAAATCAGTGTCTAGTCCTGTATGAGACAGATATGACAAGCTTTTAAAAAAAATGAAAATCTTCACATTTATGCCACTTGAAAAAGAAAAACACTCAGGGGACTCCTTTTTTCCCTGTTCCACAGCAGCTAAAAAGGTGCCTCCCCCACGTTACCGCACAGTTTGTATTCATTTCCAACCAATGGAAGAGAGAAAAGAGGGATGAAAAAAGTATGAGTACAAAAGGGGGGGACGAGGGAAAGGAGTGATGACATAACAGGGGGCCTGACGTGCGTGAGAATGTAGGTGCTTACGTCAACTGTAACTGGGAGAGGAAGAGCAAGCATTCCCTATGTAGGTCACATTAAAAACACATGCAGCTACCACATAAATTCAGCTAACTAACCGACCAGCCTGACAAGCAGCATTGAAATCACAATTGTGAGAACATCTTCAGCTTTCCATGACTGTAAAAGAAAATTAAAACAATCCATACTGTACTGTTGTCGCTGCTAGTGATGACTGAATCTGCAGCACAGACCTAGTTAAGAACCTGTTAAATTACTGATGAGTCTGGGGAGTGACATCATGTGCTCTGTTATTTTAACATACATCTAAAAGTGATGACAAGCTAAGCTTTTGAATGGGGGAGATTTCATGACCCAGTGCATATGGATCAGTTCATTCTCACTGTTGTGGTAAATGGTGGAAATTCATATCACATTTTCTACTTTCATAAAGTCCCAGCCATCCTGCCTGCTGGTCTGTAATATCACACCAACTTCACGCCATGTCATCACCCTATATTCATGAATCTCAAGAATCATCCTGGAGCAAATTAATTAGTAACAATGTCACAATGATTTTAGTTAACTAATATTAGTGCTCCTATTTGGGTCAGTCATATGCAACACATGCACAAACAAATTAATCATTGAACACAGTCAATGCACCAAAACCAAACTATTAACAATTGCACTGGAGTTGACTATAGCTGGAAACATCCCTTGTATTGTCTCCTCATATGTTCTAGAAAATGTGTATTGCAAAACTGCAGCTCTACAGCTGTTATTGACCTGGAGCTTGTGTATGAAAAACAGAGTGAATAATAAATCTTAAGCGGGGTGGAGCACAGGAAGAGAAAGCAAACTGTAACATAATGAACGTGGGAGGGGGCTGTTTATGCAAACTGTATTCATGAGGGGAATACATAGAAGAGGGCAATGAAGACAGTATGGTGATGTTAACAGTGTATTCATTATGTAGTGTTAAAGTAGGCGTTTGTGAAAGTACCACTGAGATATAGATACCAGCCCATTCTCACAAAATGGTAGCACTGGTGTTAACGGATCTGTAATGAGTGGACTCACGGTGAGCTGTCCTGCAGGGGTCACTCTGCGTGCTGTCAGCAGAGTGGGCCGAGGAGACCGAGGACACGCTGGAGCTCCTGACGAAGCCGAAGGCTGCCAGGCGGCCCGCGGGGAGACGGCTGGAGCTGAAGCCTGGGGGGCGCAGGCCTGACTGGCTTGTTTTGGGAAGCAAAGACCTGGAGGCCGTTGCCTGGGGCTGGGCTGCTGCTGATGCTGGAGCAGGTGGAGGAGGAGGAGCATGATGGGTGAAAACCTGGTCATCTGTTAGAAAGCACAGTGAAGAATCATGTTAATTTTTTGTCATCAATTATTCAAAAACAGAAGGATGTTCAGGAGGCAGGATATTGTTTTAGCCTACATTGGATGTCCTTATCTGAACTGATAATACAGCAGCAGCCAGACAGCCAGTGGCTCTGCTAAGGGGTGACCAGTGGGGGCCACGGCCACTCACATACAATCACTGATGATTCCTTCACTCTTATGTTGGCATAGTTTTCAATAGCCAACAGTGTAATAGAATTCCTGAAATTCAGTTATGGTTTTTGGCTTCAGTGTGCCACCCCAAGGTTTTCAGTGGCCTCATGTGGACACCCAAAATTTCTTGGGGGGCCATTGCAGACAGTATGCAAACAATGATAAACAAAGTGACCCCTCATTCCCTACATTTCAATATGTGGTAATAATTAGCTGCATTTACGCTCCGTTTGTTTGAGCAGCAGCACGTGGTGCTGAACGGACAGCACCACAAAAGCAGGAAGTGTGTGTGTGTCTGTGTGTTTGACTAACTACTGTAAACTCATTAACACTCACATATTAACAAAATGCAGGAGATTCAGAATAGCCGTGATGTTTATTTCCCCTGTGAATCATTCATCATCCTGTGTTGAATAAGCTCTCGGGGGGCACCAGAAAGTTTTCTGTGTTATGAGTCCAACAGCTACGGCAAGCAAATGTAATAACAATATACACAACAACCTGCTAACAGCTGCTTTTGGCTCCGGCCGTGCTTGCAGACTGGGCTGGCGGCCAGCAATTTCTCTAAGGCCAACAATGTTATGACGCTTGATATGACACCCGCAATTTAGGACCTAGCTGATGTATCTTTCCAATACATACACTGTGTTTGCCTGTGTTTATAGATCATAACATGATCAGTAATGCCTCGTTAGTGTAGGTGCTGCAGTGACGGACTTTAAATTAGAGAAGAAAATGAAACGTTTGTGTAAAAGAGAGGAGAGAATGAAGAGGAGAGAAAACATCTTAACAGGGGAAGAGAAAGAAAAGACAGGGAATCAAAGAGAGACACAGAGGATAAAGAAGTAATCATAGCTCCATGGCAGCCATTGTCAGTGAGCAAAGGGGAGCAATCCTCCCTCTTGGTAATCTATGGTTTCCAACAGCAAGACAGACGAAATGTGCAGGCATGAACAACCGAGGCTGCACACATTTACACACAGTGGGCAGTGGGCAAATCCGCAGGCCTTGGATAGAAGCCCCATCCTGGGCAGAAGAGGAACATTATCCCCTGCTGGCTGCAGAGATAAGGTAGGCAACCCTCCTTTCCTCAACTATTTGGCACAGCTGTGTGCTCCAGTACATGCTACAGGGCCAACACAGCATCAGTGCAAGAAAGAAAAAACCCTGTGAGGAAGAATACAAGCTCAGTTGGTAGAGAAAAAGACAAAGTGGGACAGTAAGAGGCAGAAAAGTCTCCAGTGTAACTCCCCTCCAGCATCATCAGTGCAGCTGTTCGCACGTCTCACCTCTTTCCTCCTTCCTCAATATCTGCCTGTGTGCCTGTTTATTACGTTAGAGCCCGCTTCCCTTGAGTGAGAAGGTCAGGATCATTAAAGATAAATGTCCTCATTTCCCTCCTGCCCCTCACCACTCCATTCATTCCCTCTGAGAGACGAGGGAGAGAACTGCAAACAACCTCAGCCTGGATATCACAGACCTAAGCCCCTGTTAAATGAAGATACACATTATTCATAACAATCTAAAAAGGAACAGGAGGGAGATGGAATTATTAATATGACTTTGACTGTCCTTCTCTGTTTCTGTATTTCACTATATTTTTTTAGCCCCACAATAACTTTTTTTTTTTGTCTCTTTCTTACATTTGTCAAATTGCACCTGCAAAACACACACTACCTGATAAAGCGGCTCTCAAGCAGTACAAAAATAGGACTAAAATGTATTAAAGTGTGACAAATGCACCATGAATCATGGGTGTTTTCCTGGGCTTGCAATTTTCTCCCTTCAGCCATTCCAAAGCTTTGAATATAACCACTTTACTTCCCTCTCAGGTGTGAAACACTACCTTCAGTTTCTCTGCAACACCTGAGATATGAAAACATCTTCATCCACTGGCTGTCACTGACAGAAAGAGCCTCCCAACTTGAGACAAATTATGTAAATCGGTCTTACAAAAGTCAATGGGACAGGCAGCTGGGATAAGCACTATAATGGCCGACCGATTTTAATTACAGCTCTAGGTGAGCTGCGGCAACCTGCATGGATTTCCTTCGCAAAGCTTTAAATTGCGTGTTATTAAATGTGATACTTGAGTGCAACGCAATCTCTGCAGAGCTACTTGAGCAAAGCACGGAGCCTCACTGCTGTGGAGATGGGAGGATCATGAGAGCCTCAATATGCAGAAGTTACAGTAGCTTCATCACAAACGTCCCATCCTGTAAGTGGATGATCCTCATTATCATAACAATGGAGAGTTTAAAAGCCGCACAGTAATTATGTGAGTATTTTGAATGCTATGTACAGTATAATTACTATAATATGTGCACGCAAGATACATTTACAAAAGCCTGGGAAGTTGTAATTCATAGTAGTGAGAAGAACAAAGGAAAAAACAAAACACTTATTGCAACACTGTTAAGGGCTACAGCTCAGATTTCTCCAGAAAATAAATTTAAAAAAACAACAAAAACAACAGAAATCCCTTAATAACATGACCTATAAACACAAGGGCAGACACATGCTACATGCACAGTGTATATATATTAGCTGGTGTTTATCCATGCAGTGTGTATAGGACAGTGTACAGCAGGGATGAGAGATGATTCCAGCAGAAAGATACTGACGTTACTTAAATGTTAATTGCTTTGCACTTCAAAGCCTGGAGTTCCCAGAGGGCCAAGCAGCACTGAGACACCACACATATGTATTAATAGGGATTATGATAAGGAAGCCTGGCACATCATGACACTGTGCTGATCGATTCTGCATGTTCAGATTTGGATTATCTGTGAGTGTACAAATGCACACGTATGTCCCTGTGTATTTTTGTTGTGTCCCGGGGTTATCGCACTCAGGGAGAGGGCAGATCAAATATGCATGGAAGTGATAAATGGCATAGCCTTTTAGCAGCGTGCAGGGCGATGAGTAAATTTCATACTTAGATATTCTAGGGACAGCCAAGCTATAACGTAAATCTGACTTCAGTAGTCAGAGGTGGTATCTGAATCATCTGAATTAGAAATTCGCTGTGTGTTGAGCGAAAGTGCGGGCAAGCTTTCATTTTTTTATTTTGTTTTGTAGATGGCAGCCTTCTGGTGCAGGAAAAAAGTCCCCTCAGAGTATTTCTTTCTTAAAGCCCTCCAATCAGATCAGCCAAAAGGAATCTCAGAGAATGCATTTTAATGAGATGCCTTCATCTCGGGCCAGGTAGCTCTCTGGTGTGTCAGATTTTAGGTTGCTGAAATAAAATCTGACACATGCTGTTGCTCAAAAGAGGCCATCCCCATCTGGTATTCTCTCTGTGAGGGAAATATAAACCTTCTCCAAAACATAATGTGAGGAAATCTCTTACCTGCGTTATCTTGGCTTTTCTGACTGGTCGCTGGGCTGACTGGTTGCACTGGCTGGCTGAAGACCAGAGTTGACCTCTGACCCTGAACAGGTACTCTGCCCTTGGCTGAGCCCGTAGCCGTCCTGGTGACAGCCCCCAGGCCGAGACGCAGACCTCTGCTGGAGCGCAGGAGGCTGCCGCTCCCTCCCGCCTGAGCAGCCGTTCGTGACTGCAGCGCCTCCTCAGGTGTACTCCCTTTGAAACTGGCAGATCTTCCCACCTAGATTGTAGAAATAATGAAATTAGCTTTAAAATGCTATCATTGAAAATCTATGTACTCTGGGACACTGCACTGTCTATGCAGTAGAGAGATGCAAATACTTTTGAAATTGCTGCTATATATCAAGAGCAAACAGAGAAAAGGGGCTGTGGCATTCACTTTTGCTCAAGAGATAAAAAACCTACAACTACCAGAATGCACTGGACCAATAAATGCTGGGTAACACTAATGGGTAACGTAATGCAAGCTTGGCTGCTTTGACACAGGAAACAATATGGTGGGCAGCTGGTAAAATACGATCTTGAATTACAGTTAAATGTTAAGCTAAAATATGTTTCTGAAACATTTGAGGGGAGAAAGAGGCAACACAGTAATGGAATCTTGGTTCATATTTGTTCAGCACTGGTTAGTTTTACTGTTTGATCTCAGTTTTTGCAGGAAACAGTATGGTACCCACTTCCTGTTCACAAATTCTTCTCATATTACAGCCAAACAGGGCACTGGAGTATGTTTCTGAAGACATTATAGGTGAGAAATAGGTAATACAATAACAGAATCTTGGGTTTTTTTAGACTGTTAGTGTCTGTGGGTGGAAAATGCGTAAATACAATGTGTAGTTCGAGCTAGAGCCAGCCAAATGCGTCATTCAGTAGATTGATGATCCGTAGTTGGCGAGATCCATAGTTCATTTACACATTCTACCCACACTGTTGTGATAAAGAGCTGGTTGAAATGAGCAAAGTATCCCTTTACTTCAAGTATTTTAAGCACAGGGTCATAGTTAATGTGTATAATAACAAATTGTATCTCTGTTACTTTTCTGGTACGTGAATGTGGTTGCTATGACTGTAAAAACATATTTAAGGTCCCACAGATGTAAACAGTGCATGAGCACCCACTGAGATTTCCTGCTGGTGTTTGCATACATGCTAATGTGTTTACCGGCAAAGTCTGGCTGCCATGACATGTTAAATATTGTATATTTTGCCTGTGATATCACGAACACTAATGCATCCTGTAACCTAATTAACCCACAGCATAATTATATTTTCCATCTATAATTGCATCCTTATAGACTTAAGTCTCTTTGTTATCAAACATTCTGTATGAACAAAATGAAATGAAAATATCATGAAGCCAACTATGTCAGTAGATAATAAGTGATAACAAGAATTCCTCCATCCTGTAGTGTGTCCACAAATATGCTGTGAGTAAAAGTAACAACCAGTCTCATGAAATGCAGGAGAGCTGAGATCCATAAACATGAACTGTCTCACATCACCAGCATAATTCAAGAGTACGTCTTGTCTCTCAACAATCTGTGTGCTGGACAAAATGCTAGTGTACATGCAGTGACATATACAGTATTGAGAATCCTCTTGTCCCTGTGGGCTTTGTTCTTCAGAATGCATTAACTATTTATTTCCGCGTGTTGGTGTTTGACGCTGTTTGAATATGAATGCCAAATGAAGCTATTTAATCAGAATCAATAAGGGATGATTTTTAAGCGATAATGAGAAGCCCTTGAGAGAGTGGGAATAAAATGCAGAAAGATCTGTGATCAATTATACATGGTGGTATACCGGGGGATTGAAATTATGGACATCAGCTAGTGAAACTGATGTGCCGAATCAACAAATTTAACAGAAGAGGTTTGTCTTTGTACTTATATAATACAGTATAATGTGTATCCTAAAATAATTATCTCCTGCTAATTGATATGGGTACCATCATAATTAAATCCTGTCCTTTCTTCACTGCTTGTGTTAATGTGCTATGATAGTGGAATGTGCTGAGTCTAAGCATAATAGAAAAATCATTTGTTGAATGAGAGTACGCACAATGCCAAATTACAATAGGAGTCAGAATGAAAGCTTCATTTTTCTAAGAAAGATTTATATTAAAAATCTTGAAATGAGATGCATACAGTGAAGACTGTACACTCACCTCTGACGGTGCCCTGTAGAAGTTGTCTGCTTTGCTGCCCAGTTTCGGGGGCGCCGTGTGGCTGTGTGTGTGTGCAGGGGGGACGGTGTGTGTGTGTCCAGGGGGCCTGATGCTCCTGCTTAGCATTCCTGATGGGAACATGTTTGCTTGCATCTCTTGGCGGTACTTGTCATAAAGCAGATTGGAGGCACTAAGCACTGGTGCTCCTCTGATTTCTGTGTCGGGCTTGGAGGGGTCTTTAGAGATGTCTTTGAAGGATGTGGGTGTTTGGCCGTGTGTGTATGCTGACAGCCTGGACGGCAGAGAGGATACCTGATAAGGTCCGTCAGCAGCCTGGGGTTTAAACTGAGGATTCTTACGGACGTAGGTGATGATTTTGGGCCGAACTCCTTTAGGTTTAAGTTTAGGTGATGGGGAGCTCTCTTTGGGGCTGGAGTTGTGGTTAGAGCTCTGCTGGTTGTTAAGAGGCGCTTTGGGGATTCCACTTGTGCTTATATTAGTTTTGACTGGTGCTCTCATGCAACTGTTGCCATAGCCCTGAGCTGATGTCGTTACAGCAGGGTTGCATCCTGACGGGACATGTCTAACCACTCCAGAGACATTCCTGGAAACGAGGTACATGGAGGGTTGCCTGCGTGGTGAACCCTGGGGAGTCCTGAGAGGGGATTGGGGAGGGGTAGATGACCTGGAATCAACCCCTGTCCTGTTTGGACTGGTGCAATTCCTTCTGTATGTGAGCTGAGTCTGGGGTCTCTTATCTAAAGTGGAAGGATTGGAAGGACTTGAATTGCGCCACGCAGTTGTAGCTGGCTGTTTTTCTACAGGTGGAGCCTCCCTCTGGGCTGCCTGCCTGGGCTGTGAGACTCCAGATGCAGTGTACAGGTTGGAGAAATCTGATGGTTCACGTAAAGCCGATTTTATAAACTTTCTGTTTGACCCATTGCCGTGTGACTCTGGAGAGGGGTTGGGGGAAGACGGTTGCCCTGTCTCAGCTTGTTGAGCACTGGGCTCTGCTGAGCTTCTCGCTCTTCCCACCTCTGTCTGACAGAGAGGTCTGACAAGCTGTTGCCGTCGTGGTGGCAGCACCCTCTCCTCAAATCCTGCCTTCCTCCTTTGACCCAGCCCCACGTCAGAGGACAATCCATTTCTATGATGACTTCCCCCCTCCTGTCTCTGATCCTGGCTGTAGTATTGAGGACAGCCATGTTTATCCTGAGGATGCGATGGTGGGGAGTTCTGGTTGGCATCTACAGGGGCTGCCCTTTGTCTGGTCTGGGCTGAGGTAGTGTTGTTTGTATTGGACAGAGAGACAAGAGACTGCACTTCTCCGCTACTATCCAGAGCACTCGACAGGCTCCCGCTGAGGGTAACGGCTGACAGACTGGAGACGAACACATTCGTCTCAGACTTGGACTCCTTCAGACCTCCCTTCCGTCTCTCCCTATCTCCTGCTCTGCCTGACCTGGTGTCCCTTTTCTCTATTGAGCCTGTCACACATGTGTCCAGCTCTTCAGTGCTGTGACAGGCAATCCTTCTCTGCACCTCTCTGCCCCTCTGTTGTCTGCTCTCCACTTTGTTGTTGTCGTTGTCATTTCTCCTCACTCCTGTCGAAGCAGAGCTGGCAGTTGAGCTTGAGGATATGGACATGGGGCCCTCGTCTTTTCCATCCCTTATGCTTCCTCCATCATCATCCTCCTCCTCCTGATCCCTGTTTCCCAAGAATGTATGTATCTCCTGACACTCCAAAAGGTCAAATTCTCCAAGCTCAGGCTCCAAACATTGCTGCTCAGAGTCCCAGATTACTAACTTGTCAGGGGATTCACTCTGCGAGACCAAAGGAGGAATGGAGCTTGTGCTGTAACCTGTCTCCTCAATCAATCCTCTCCCTTCTTGATCACCAATTGAAGTTAATTGGTTGGCATTATTGTCCCCAGATTGGGGGAACTGGATCTGGGTTTTGTTTCCAATCTTTTCTCCTCTGTCAACATTGACCCTCAGTTCTTGAAAACCAGTTGGGAGACTCATGTCTGACCAATTCTTTTGGCGCACTTAAAGACACCAGTGGGGTGCTGAGGCCATTTATGGAGTTACAAGTGTTTCTTCCCTTCCTGTCTCTCCTCTTCAGGGTCTGCGCGATGATGGCCCTTCAGTTGATTATTCCAAGGACGAAATGTCATCTCATGGAACCTTTTTCACTTCAACCTGCCACTTATCTTGCATTTACTGTGAGCTAACAAAGCTGTCTTTGATGGCTCTTTGGGGAGATGGAGGTCCATTCAATCTGAAATAAAAGGAAAGGAAATTGTGAGGAAGGGCAACAAGTATGCCTGAAATGCAGCTATTTCTGTCGAACTCATTCCGTGACCCCCCCCCCCCCCCCCCCCCCCCCCCCGGAGCCACTTAATGTATTTTATATTCAGTTTGGTCTGGGTAGCAGCAATTTCTGAGATCAGCTGTGCATAGTCTGCAATCTTGTGTCCTTTACTTGCTGCCCATGGGACAAAAAGACACTTGAGGCACAACAGGAAGTTGCACATTCGGTGCCCACCATGACAAACTGACAAAAATAAACAACTTACCTAACAAACAATAGTCATAAAAAACAAACAATAACAGAATATGGTGTGTACAACTTTGCAAATTTTACACCCTGATTGCTTTTGCCTTTGGAGGGCGTCTATGTCGCCTATAGGATGATCTGCCACTGCTCGCAAGTCTATATATAGTAATTTAATACAGTAGCCTAATTGTTGTAACCAGCAGGCGTAGAATAGCACCGATAATAGGAAGGCAATCATCAAATTATGATGGATGTTCACTACAAGGCAGGAAGAGGAGAGATGTGGAGTGGAGGATAGCTGAGGCTACAGACTGTTTGTATGTAAGTGAAGGCGTCACCCTGGGGATGTCTGATGTAGACAGGCGAGGAGGAAGAAAGGGAAGGGTGCGAAGTGTTTTGTAATGAGCTTTTTTTTCCTCAGGAGACACAGAAAAATAGAAGACACAATGAGGATAGCGTGAAAACCGCTGCAATAACAGTGTGTTTGAGTGGTTTTATAGAATATAAGATGCAAGCAAACGGTGTGTCTTATATCTAGTGCATGCATGTTCCCTATGTGAAGAACATGAAAATTATGTGTGGGAGTAGAAACACCAACGCAGGAGGGATAAATCCATACCGTAGGTCTGATCACTACAGGAGGGGTTAACACTCTTCTCTCAACATGTCTTCTCTAACACGCCATATGGCTGATTTAGCCACTGCCACAATTCGATTGTACACAGCAACAGCAAGTTGTGCTTCATTTAAAAGGCAACATTCTGCAGGATGTGCAGAGATTTAAATGGTTGTGTCACTCTGAGTAGACACCACTTCAGAGTAACCGACTGTATGTGGTGCCATTGAAACAGGTACAGTCAAAAGATGAGCAGATGGCAAGGAGGGCAAAGAGCTTTTGTCATATCATGTCAGTGCACAGCTTAATTACAGCGGTAGGCTACAAACAAACCCCCCAAACAACCAATAAACAACCGCACATCAACACACCGAAGAAAACTTTGACTCTGACAACATGAAATGACTCTGTTATGTTTTTGCTCTCAGAGGAAAGACTTCCGGGTGTCTCTTTACATTTCAGTCTTTCCATAATTATGCAAGAGCTCTGTGAGGAGTTCTCCTTCTGCCTTGAACTAGACGGATTAAAACCGCAAACCATTTGCCCAGCTAGGAGAACATCTTTTGTTTACTTGTTTGTAACACACAGCCTGTGTCCTACATCATACACAGAACTCATATAAGTTAGACCGCAGTCATAGTCCATCAAAACTGTCAGCTAAATGTACAGTCATCTGTCTGTGTAGGCAGTGAGTGTCGTATATTTAGACCAAGATGGTCATTATGTAGTCAAATATGTGTCTTCAAACCATCACACTGAATATTTGAGTTGTTTCCAAAGTTCAAATAAAACTCCCACCCTCTAATTATATGTGCAGCGGGGGAGTCTGCTCTCATTAGCAGGTGCCTTCTCCATGTGTCCTGTGGCAGCGATATCAGTGAACTGCTAAGAAGGCAGCTCTCACTGCCTGTGGCGCATGTGATGCATCGAGTGCAGAGCTACAGTTTGTCCAAATGCACCAGGAGGGGAAACATTCAAGGATATGATTTGTATTCCTGAAGGTCATCTTAGAAGTAATTTGGAGATGTTTTCCTGAAGAGCCTGTTAAAAGAGGCTGATGGGAACTCGGTGAGCTGAGTAAGGTTAGAAGAAGGTCATCTTACTCTGAAATGTTCATAAGCAAATATCCAAACTTTTAATACTGTATTACATTTTATATAAGGATCAGATGATGATATCAGACATTAGTCAAAATAAGCATTTGTTTATTGTGCTTGTAATATTCTGCTTTAGATCCAAGATTAAGCCATAACTGAATTTCAGGAATTCTATTATGCTGTTTAAGTATAAAAGCTAGTTGAAATCTATGCCAATATGACAGTGAAGGAATCACATACCGATATACTTGGTTTCTTAATTAACAGTTAATATTACTTATTATGTCATGTGCATAGACAAACACCAGTGCCGTTAATATTTTGAGTTCCACAACAATATTGTTTTAATGTGTTATGTATCTATATATGCTAGATGATTAAGTGTTCTTCAAATTGTTGTCCGTTTCCTCATAAAGACAAATATAAATCTTTAATTTAAAGGAGTACATTGACTTTAACAAACAAAATATTAACTGGGAACAAGCCCTCTCAAGTTTAGGGGAGACTCGTGAGTACCCATAGAAACCATTCTCATTCAGATATCTGTCATTCAGCCCCCTTCCCAACAATGGCTGCTTACAAGGTAGGTACCAACAGATGGCTTAAATTGTGTAGTTTCATGAGATACCACTACCTTAATGCTAACTTCAAAAATGAGCACACCACAGCCTCATAAACACATTATTGGCAGAATACAATTGCATCAGGGTGGCCATGGCCCCCCCAGCCCACAACTGGGGCGCCATTGCAGAGATTGCAGAGAGGCAGAGGAGAAATTCACTGTGGTAGACAAATAGACAAACATGTATTATAATCCACACACTGTCTTCTGTGCTCTCTGTGAACACTGCTAATATTTACCCTTAGCTGGTGCACACAATCAAATAATTAGCCAATTATAAAACACACAATACAAAGAGGTGGATATTAGGAGAGGGGATGGGAGAGAGACAGAGAGTCGTGTTAGAGAGAGAGGGAATTCTCTGAGAGGACATGGTGGCAGATCAATTACGGCACTGATGTAGTACTGGAGGTTGTGCTGATGACAGCAGTCTTGGGAAGCTGAGCGCTATGAGCTCGGTCACAGTGGCTGAACCACAGCAAAGCTGCACATCACCTTACAGTAGAGGCAGACAAAACCAATCTGGCAAAACCCAAAACATAACCAGACAGAGAACAAAAGAACCCGTTTGACGATGTGAACGAAATGACCTGATGTGATGATAAAAGGCAAAAAAACATTAGGTGGATGCTTCAGGAGAGATTTGTTTGAAAAAAAAAAAAACTTGACAGGCTCTCCCTGCTGCCGCGCTCCCTAATGTTGGTGACATACTTACTTAGATGCAAAAAGTAAAAAGGATCACATGGGAGTGAGTGTATAAAGGAGGACTGCTGTTGGTGAGGAGCTGATGTTTCCTTTGACTTGAATGTGAATCACGCAATTACAAGTGTAACAAATATGAACATCTTTGATCAAGCTCCTTTCTGAGCAGAGGAAACACTGCAAAACAAGAGAGTACTCAGGGCCCATATTTAACTGTATGAGTTGTGTACGCACTGTTGCCACTGGCGCTACAAGCAAGTATGATAGCTAATTTATATATTTATCAGCTTTTCTACAATGAAAAAATAAGATAAATTAACCTGATGATGATGATATGGTAACTTCATTCAAAATTAAACAGATTTGACTTTGTGATGAAATCCACAGCATACCAAGGAGGACAAGCCTGATTATTCCTGCATATATGCATGCTGAGTTGATCTGGGCTGGAATATGCAATGAAGGCTTGGTTCACCTTTGTTTCACAAAGTTGGAGTAACTACTCGGTCTGAACTCCTCTGGGAAAACAGCAGGGAGAAAAAAAAATCAACAGTCCTGCTTCTGTTGTCATGGCAATGTCATATCCCTGGGAATTGGAGAGTACACGTCCTGACCTCTGCGTCTTCCATCAGGGGAAAAGGTCAGCGTTAGAAAGAGACGGGCTGTCCTGAAGGTCAGCTTTATGCTTCTACACTCACAGCTCATGCATACATTCTACTGTGCAACGCTTCCACGTGTGAACTCACACCTGTGCACAGTCGTGCATAAAGACATATGGACCCACAGGAGCACATGGTGCACACAAACTACACACAGTGGAATAGCTGAGTGAAAGCCAGGGATTTTTTTTCCCCCGCCAGGTACATATTACTCATCTAGGAGCAATCATATCCCTGCAAGTGGGTAGATAGACGGATTGCTGAAGTGATGAGAGCACAGGGCAGGATAAGACCATATCTCAGCAGTGATCAAAGTCCGTGAAGGACAGGAATTTGTGGTTTTCACCGGGCTCCTAACCTATCAAGTGCCGCATTTAACCAGAGAAAGCCCTTCTCAGTAGGGAACCAACGAGCTGAGAACGCAACATGATGGACTCACTGGAAATGGAGGGCAAAAAAATAAAATCAAGAGTGGAGTCGAAATGGGAGAAAAAAAAGAAAGAAAGGCTGTCCTCACCCTCTTTTCTTTTTTCCTTCTCTGAATGTAAGCAGGTCTGTGTGGGTGAAAAACTGAGACACAGACATGAAGTGGGAGAGATGAGACATGCAGATGGATACATAAAGGAAGAGAGTTGATGCAGGAGAGCCGCTGCTTTCTAATTAGGCTGAGGGAAGGGAATGCATCATTCAAACCTCTATAGTGCAAGCTAGAGCTCTGTTTCTGAAGTGACTTACTGATACAAGCCCAAGAGAGCACAGTGGGGTAATTATTGAATTCTTTTAGCATATACAATGCTAATGAGTGCTAAATTACTCCCATTGATGGAACATACATTTCCATTTTAGGTAGTAAATCTCATGATAGCAGTAAGGCCAGAATCTAAGAGGTATAAGTGGACTTTCCTGTCCTTGTTTCTCAGAGACTGTATGAAAGTTATTGGAAGGGGAGTCGGATAGGGCAGAGGATTTGTATTTTTATTCTTTAATTAATTTTCTTTATATTGCTGAAGGGATGGAAGTCCAAT